TCTCTGTTGACTAGGCCCGAGTCACGCTCAAAACTGTTTATTTACACACATGGCTTACATCCGGAAGCGTGAAAGCGTATATACGTGGCCGCCGGCGAACGGCGTACCACTGCCGACCACTACTCCCCCTCGGGCCAGGCTGGTCAGGAAGCGTATGGAAGTGGGTGAGCGAGGAGAGGGGGAATGAGGAATGGGGCGGGGTAGTATGAAAATATTGCAACAACACTGGTGAAACAAAATGTAGAAAGCTGCACATCAAATGATGTGCAGTTTCAAGAGAGCAAAAACCAAACACTTCATGATGTTGAACTGAACTAGGCGTCAAATTGTGTGCAAGTGTATTCGACGTGCATAATTTGCACACTTGTTTTACGTGGGCAACGTAAATACGCTTCCACGCTTCCCGTCAAATGGTTGTAACTAGCCAGTTACAAAATTGTATCAGAAATCAGCTATGCACACAGAAATCCGGTGCTAGTTGCAACAATTGTATTGACACATTTAGAGTGTAGTAGTATGCCGTTTCATCAGCGCGTACATCTTATCCAAACACACTAATCGAAATAATTGTCCGAGCACATTGTTTGAACAGTGTGTCTTACAGCCATATTGTGCGACTGCACGGCCCATCCCTACGTCCGTCCGCACCGACGCATCCGCAGCCACAGCGGAGTGGCTCCAGGGAGGCTGCCCCGTCCCGCATGGTGGAGAGCGCCCGGAGGGTAGGCAAGCCGCTGGGCTCGCGTGCTCGACGGGACGGTGGGCCGGCCGGGGGCTCTGCTAGTGGCAGCCGAGGGTGGCAGCTACGAGACCGGTCGCGCACAGTCGGTGCGCGGCTGTGCGCCGGCCCTACAGTCGCCGATAACCTTTCTGTGAAAAACACTCAGTTCTCCGCCCCCATTTTCTGCGTAGCGCAGCCGCCGGCGTCTGGGAGGCGGCGCGTGAGCGGGTTGGTGTAGCGCGTCGGCGCGGACACAAAGTCAATTCGAGGCACGGCCTGACCTACCGCTCCGCACGGCCAAAGCTGCCCCTGGATCCCTTCCATTAGTGTGCGGGAGTTGGGGGAGGGAGGAGACGGCGGGGGAGTGGATTCAAGTAGCCCCCGCCGCCCCGCTCACGGACTTGGGTAGCGCAGAACAGGATTGGATTCGCAATTTATTGCTTCCTTCTAGGGGTCTTGGGGGCCAAGCATTGGTGTTGCTGCCGCTACGTCGGCGTATCTCCTGCCCCCCCCCCCACATTCCCAACCACTTTTTGCCTTCATCCCCCTCTCTCTCTCCCTCTTTGGTCCCACCGCTTAATTTTCACAACAACATATCGACCCATATCCTGGTGAGTCCTTCAGTGTTAAAAAATTAGTTCTCTATAAACAGGAGTGCGGTATATTCCTTCCAGCATTTTTTGTACTCCGTTTTTCCTCATTTTTTTATTTTTGCAAACACGGCCCCCTTCCCGTCATGGCTGCACCTTGAGCCTAACCCTCTTGTTTGTATCTCTTTCCTCCTCCCCACGCCACAGCGACCCGGCTGCTGCTGCTTGTTTGCATTTCCCTCCCTTTTTAGCGCTTCCATGGCACGGCAGTAGGTAAAGGTTACCCCCCCCCCCTCTCCCCCTAGCCCTCGCGTTGCCCCCTGCAGGTTGCCCCCCGCAGGCCACACACTGTCCCCCGCTGGCCGATCCCCTGCTGGCCGGCGCTTACGGCAGCAAACCCTCCGCCAGCTTTTCCTGGGGCATCTGTGCTCACTTTCGGGCCAATCAGAATCTCTAAAAACTTTAATGGAAAGCAAAATCGTCGACAACGTAATACTGTCATTAAAAAGTAGTACCAAATTATGATAAGAATTACAGTGAACACTTCTCGTCTTGTCGATACTCGTGCGGCAGCGGTGGCAGGGTGCCGGCGGGACAGGCAGGAGACGGGGATGGCGAGCATGATGTCTCCTGAAGGGACGCCTCTCTGGCGTGACGTCAACCTAGGCGTGCGTCACGAGGCGAGGGGAACACCCCAATGTGGCGGGGTGTGGCAAAAGGGGGACACCCCTGCGAAAGGGTTGACGCGGTGGACGCTCGGCTTGTTGGTTTGGCGCCACTCCCACATATATCCCTTCTCGTCGTCTTCAAACGCCGCTGCGCCCCTTTGCGATCAGCGCGGCGGCGGCGGAGCAGCACGGTGTGACGGGCACATCACTACGGTTTTGCTCACGGTACAACGGTCCACCCCGCCCTGCCTCACCCCGCCTCGCCCCGCCCCGTCCCGCCGCAGTGGTCCATACCCGCCCGGCCTTGTCATCAGAGTAAACACTATGTCCGCGACCCGGCGCCGCGCGGCGTGGCGCGGCGTGGCGGCGCGTAGCACCCTGGCGCGCCTCGTCGCCATGGCGACGGAGACATCTCGACGCCGCGCGCTAAAGTGACATAAACATTTCGGCGCCGATCCCTTTGGAATACGAATGTGCTCGCTGCACGCATTGTCCACGGCCCGGGAGACAA